GCAAACCACATTATTTGATTAAAAATACTCCAAAGACACGACTAAGGCTCACAGTTGTTAGTCTAGTGATCGTGGCTCAAGAGTTGGCAGTTCGTCTTGTAATCGGAAGGTTGCCGGTTCGAGCCCCGGGTCGCTCGTTGTGTCCTTGGGCAAGACACTTCACCTACTGGTGTTGGCCAGAGGGCCAGTGATATACCAGTGAAATGACAAATTGGCTTTCTCATTCGGCTCTCTCTTTACCACTACAGATTGGGAAAGCAGCCGCATGACTGTGAATGTCCCGCCAGCCCAAATGTCAATCGTGCGTCTCACTTGTGAGCAAGATGCTAAAATACTTGAACTCCTACACCTTGGGTAGTAGCTCGTCCCCAGTGGCGGTCCTAGCCTGTTTGGAGCCCTGGGCGAACACTCCCTCCCAATGACACATCTGCTTACCTGTGTCTCTCATGCTCGTTTCTCCTCCTCTTCTTTTCTCTTTTTTCTAAACTGAGCACCTGATGGCTTTGAACTTTTCTTGTCCATCTTTGTTTTAATTTTGCACGCCAGTATGAACACAAATCCCCCAATCTGAGGATCACCGCAACATAACCTAACAGACCTACACCTTAGTTCACAGATTCACTTTGTCTAAGGTTTATTTCTGGGATTTCACACAACCCAGGATTCAAAACATGAATACATAACGGGCTTGGATTTAGATCATTATGATTGAAATGTGCTCTATTTGAAAGCAGCAGGTGTCCCTCCCCTTTCGACGGGTTGTGTGAGACTTTAAATCATCAAACTGTAAATTATAAATTTAAATTGTTATTGATCCTTTACCCCGAGTCCTAAATTGTAGATTTATTTTCTTACTCTTCTTATATACATTGTTTGTTTACTTGCACTGCTGTAAATGGAGCCTCGTCGTCTCGTCTCTCTACTGGACTGTATGTAGCGGAGATGACAATAAAGTTTACTTTGACTTCAGCAGCGAGCAGGCGCACCGAGGGCTCTCGCGCTGTTTTTGTGTTTGTTGGTTTGTTTTTATTTTGTTTTATTTTGCGAGTTG